AACCTTGCTCTGTAAGGGAAGCAGCCTGATAGTTATGAGCAAGTGTGTTGTTAAAAGTCAGGCTCCCCTGCACAGCCTGCACTGCCCGCCCTTCCTGGTGACTGCTTTACGTGCACAACTGCAATGGCCCGGCTGGACATGGTTGGTGCCATCCAGGGGATCTGGCATCATCATTTCCATTTGTTTGGATGTAAGTTTTTAAATCCCTGCAACCACTTTTCAAACATCAGCCTTCCTTTCTGAAAGGAAAGCTGAAGGTTCCCAGTAATCCTCTGACATCACTTTTTGTGTTCAGAGAGGTGACATTTTAAAAGCGATGTTTCCACAGTTACCAGCATTTTAAATGGAAGCTTTATCCACAATGATCCTCAATTTCAGCTTAGATGAACTACATGCTGAGGTTACCCCCTAGGAGGACTCCACTCTTGCTCTTTTCCAGCATAAACTGCTTATGCCACCAGTGCCTTCTGTCCTTGTCCACACCGGTCATACATGACAAGTCCCTGCTTTCCCTGGAAGAATCCCTGTACACTTCACACCCCCCAGGATGAGCTGCACAAAGGCACACGTCTCCCCTCGCACTCACCAGTGGGTGTCCTTCCTTCCCGAACACGGCGATGTCTGCCACGGTAGAATGAGCACCCACCGCCTGGACTTCAACTGTGATTGGGATCTCCAGCACGTCGTGACCCTGGATGATCCCACACGGCTTGGGGCAGGAGTACCACAGAGCAGCAGCCTCTTGGTGTCTCTAGAGGGACAGAATCAAGTGCAACTTCAGAGGGACCTTTGAGGAAACTTTAAACTCCTTAACATCTACCACACTGGCAACTCACACACGTTTTTTAAAAATCCCCAAGAGAAAGCTGAAAGGCACAAAAAAGGATGCAAGAATTGTTGGGGCTTAGCATCCTCAGGGGGTCCAAAAGCTGCTGCATCCACAGACACCCACTCCTGTGCTGGCAGCTTCCTTGCAGCAGCTTTTCACAACCTTCTAAGATCTCTCACAAGAAAACACCCCAAACACTAGAATATAAACTGCTTCCTGAAGAGGTTGAATTGCTTCCTGAAGTGGATAATATTCAGGCAGGTTCCTATTTAACTGCTTCCTAAAGTTTACATTCAGGTAGAATCCTGTCCTCAGCACACCTTGAAGTCTGAACAGAAACCAACAAGGTCTTATTCAAACCCCATTTGTCCCTAATAAACCCTTCAATAATATTTGAGAGGAGGAGGTGGACAAGATGCCAAACCTGAGGAAGAACTCTGTAGCATCCTGGAAGAGGGCTAGGGTTCACAAGGGTCAGCTTCTGCTCACAAGGCTCCTTTACAGAGCACTGTCCACAGTTGAGGCTGGAGTTGAGCAAACACAGCTCAGGAACGACACATCTGAGCAAAGAGATGACCCCGAGGGAATTAGAGATACGGAGAGAATGGAGAGCATTTCCCCCCGCAGAGCATGGACTGGAGCATAAGACAGTTCTCACTGTCCATCAGACGTTTAATACCCCTACAGAGATAAATCACCTTTCATGTCTTTCCACTCAAACACATCTTGTCAAGGAGGGGCAAACCCTAAGACTCAGCACTGCAGAGGCTGCCAAGTGCCCGGGCAGAGCACGGGCCTTGTCCCACAGCTGCCTCAGCCCCTCCTTTCCCCAAGGAGGCTTGCAAGGACTCCCCCAACAGGCCGGCAAGCTGTGAGCTCTGGGGGAGCCTTCCCATTGAGGGTCAGTCTTCACTAAGGCTCAAGGAACACAAGGCTCCAGTGTCTCTGTAAAAATGACTCCCTTCTTTCCCAGGGTGCTGTTGCCCTGCCAGAAAACTCAGCCATTTGCCCAGTGTTGAGGGCAAGAGCCACCACCTGCCCTACGGAGTGGGTGATCATCCTCCCAGTTCCCACAGCTCCCTTGCTGCTGTGCCCCCGGGTCCCAGCTCCGTCCCCCTTGGCACTTGCTTTACAGAACTGCAGCCCAGGCACTGACTGGACGGCTCTGCCTGGGAGAGGGAACAGCACCAGGGAACTGCATCCCTCTTGCCATTGAACTGACACCCACGGCAGCACCACAGGATGGAATTTGGCTGCAGCAAGAACAATGTCTGGGTTAAGTCTGAGAACCTTAATGCTCAAAAGAGCCAGAGGGATGCAGGGAAACCTGAGCCCACCTGCCACATCAAGGACTACTTTCCCCTGGTAAGATCTTGCCTTTCTTTTGCCCTCACCACTCCTGCCGTGAGCCCCTTTCCCATTGCCATGTGCCTCGTTAACTGAGCCAGATCCCAGCTCTCAGCAGGCTGCTCACTGTGTCCCAAACCAGTGCTGCAGTGTGGTTGGAACCCAACACAAGCCCACCTCTTGCAGGAGAAGGAGAGGAGGACCTTGGGGAAGTTTTTACACCTCAAGCACCAACAGCCAGGCCCATAAATAATGTCATTCCCATTCCCCATAGAAAAAGGCCCAGGGCCATGCCTGGCAGTGAGCAGGGCTGCTTCTCACCACAGGCTGCTTTCCAAGCACTGCTGTTCTCCTATCTAGCTGGACAGAACCAACTTATTAAGCAAGACTTCTCCTGGAGCTGCAGCCAGCAAACCCCGTGCAAGGCAGTGTGCTGGTGGCGGGCGCACGGGGAAGGACGAGTAGCTGCAAGGAAAGGGCTGGTACCTGGCTTTGAGACGCAGAGCCAACACCGCCTTGCCAAAACCGTCCACATCCACCACCATATCACAGTCATATTGTCTCACATCATTGGAACACAGCGTGACCTGGTGGAAGAGAAGAGCAGCAAATGTTTCCCTTCTCCCAGAAGTTCATTAGGCATGTGTGGTCTCCTCCAGGTCTTGTTTCACAGTAAGGAAAGGGAGGATTTTGCCTTAATTCTTCTGCTGGCCCACGTGTAGAGCACAGTCTCTGGGAGTAACACAAGCCTTGTGGCAATATTGAATTTGTAAAATCCACCTTGCAGCTCTCAGGGCATAGGTGACTAAATTAAAGCATTATATATAATAATGGATAATGAGACTAAAGCTCCGAGTAACCCAGCTCCTGCACCAGGGCAGATCTCTTCCTTGCACATACTGAGACCCTGCAGCACTAAAGCCCTCCCACACACCAGTGAGGCTTCAGCCCCACCTCCTGACCCATGTATGGCCAGACCCCTCCCATACCCTGATCTCCTGGAATCTCTGGGAGGAGATGGTTCCTGTGATGGGTGTTATGGTAAATTCCTTTGGTTTCTCATGACGTTGAGCCAGTGTGCCTTTTCCCCAGGATGGGTGAGCGTTGTCTTTCACTTGATCAAAGCTGGTAAGGCTGGGCTGTCCCTGGCCGTCCTCAGGAATGCGAAGGTGGAAGGTGACGGGCACCACGGAGGTGTTGATCAGGCGGCACGACAAGGTGTGAGGAAAGCCTAGGAAAATGACACAAATGGCCAGGTAGGCACCAAGCATCTCATGGTGTGAATATCCTCATAAGATGAAACTGTGCTTGGAGTTTAGCTCTTTGTTATCTGAATGACAGCTCATTGAGCTGCTCAGTGAGCAATTAATCGACACTTGGACACTGACCCCGGGTTGCTGCCTTGGAAATGCCCACTCTTAGTCCTGCTAAACACCACAAGTTTCTCTCTCTCTAACTGCCCCAAACCAGCACCATCAATGATTTCTCATTGATAAATGTGCATCCAGACTGCCCAGAAATTTCAAGCCATACAATTCCCTGTTAACGTTGCCAACACTTCCACCATTTTCAAGATACAAAAGCACTGTGTTGTCACTGGGGAGAAGCTACAGCAAAAGAAAAAAGGAGGATGGAATGGGGAACTGGAACATGATGCAAAGCACCCCAATGCAGTTTCTTTAGGCAAGATCCTTAAGGGATCTCCTGGCTTGGGACAACCAGACTGAGCACATACAACTCACAGCCCACTTCACTGGAGGCAAACTCAAGGCTTGCTCTGAGATCAGTGATCAGGAACCATGTCCTGCCTTATCCGACAAATGAGGACATCATAGCCACACTGCACACTGGCTGTGATTGCTGCCCACAAGAGCTTACAGCACTTTAGCACTGATACTTGCTTCCCCGAACGGAAAGCCAGGGATACAGACACACCTGGTGGGGATGTCCTGCAGAGCCAGGACACCAGCCCGCAGCCTGCTCTGCAGTGGACACGTGGCTTGGCTGGCCAGCTCTGTGGGGAGGAGACATCTCCCAGGGCCTGCTTACCGAGTGTCATTTGAACCCGAGGGAAGAGGAAAACCAACGGCAGGCACAGCAGAGGGAGCTCCTCCATGCCCACCAACAGTGACCACTGCCCAGCTGCAGCAGTGACTCCAGCAGGGAGGCAGAAGGGGTACAAAAAGGACAAACACAGGTGTCCCAGTCCACAATGAGACCACAGTCACCAGATGCAGACAACAGTCAGCAGCACAGTTAAAGGAAGCAAAGATACAACAGCTGCCTTCAGCTGAAGAAGTCTCAGGAATGAAATAAGAGGAAACAGAATGAATCTCCTATAACACAACCATATTTGTGCCTGCTGCCTTTCTTCTTGTTTCATTTATTCAAAAGAAAACTAAGAAGGGGCTCAGCAGCGATACAGGGAGGGGAGAAAGTGGCTCAGGGAAGGGAACGAGTTTTTTTAAAAAGTCCATGAACTGCATGAAAACAAAGAAGCATCCTGGGTGCAGAATGGTAATAGCCCTTCAATCAACCCATAACTTCACATTTAAACTGTAGATCATCTCAGCTGAAAGCCTTTTGTCAGCCTGAGATGGAGAACCAGAACCTGCATTTCAATGGTGACACTCTGGGTGTTCAGCCAAAAGCTCTGTCAGCAGAGCTGGGGAAGAAGAAGAAGCCCACGGCTCTGAGGACAGAGATGCCTGAGGCAGAGCTATTGCTGGGGCATCTGACCTAGTCAGGCATAATGAGGTGCCATCACACCACTAATTAACATCCCACAGTAAAGGCACATGGTTCAAGCTCCCTTCTCCTGCAGTCCCATCCCCTGGACCTTCCTGGGACAAGGACTTTTACGGCCATTCTGCTGGCAAGGACTGGGAAATTGGAGCAGAAGAAACTACACGGGACACCAGAAAATACTGACTTTCTATTCCTTTTGGTCCCTTTGGATGTCACGATGGCAAAATGCCATCAGCTGCCCTGGAGTTAACACCCTGCAGGCTGCCGTGGAAGGGCAGGAGGGACAGATGCTCTTCTATTCAAGTGCTCCATTTTGGCAAGGCACAGATCCCTCCCGCTGCGTCCAAGCCCAGGGAACACTCACCAAAGGAGACGTCATTGAAGTCAAGGGCTCCTGTGCTGAAATGCAGGCTCAGTCCGGTGACCTGGCCCCTGCGAGGACGAGGACAGAGAAGGCAATGCTTGGTTAAAGGGAACTGCAAAGCCTTCGGCTGTCCTTCCGGCTCAGGTGGATAACAGCTGGTGGACTGTGGGTGTGGAACCAGCCCACCATCCTGTGCTCAGCACAGCCTCCGTGTGCACAGGAGGCAGCCGAAGCACAGTGGTCAGCAGCCCACAGCTGCTGATGGGCCTTGGGGCACCACAGCAGGCAGGGCATGCCCCCCAGGTGCTGCTGGCCCCATGAAGGACCCTGTACACACACCTGGAGATGGCTCTGTGCCCTTGCCTTAGGAGAAAGACTGACTCACTACTTTCCTCTTGCAAAGTAATAACCTTCTTGTTATGTTTTATCAATTTCCCCCATGTTGTTGGTAAAATGGACTGCAGATTCCTCTTGTTTCTTTCCTGCCTTGATTCAGTGCCTCCCAACAGCAGCCCAGACACAGCTACCTCCAAAGCTCCAGAGCGCCCAGCGTCAGCTTTCCCACCTACACCACAGCAGCCCACCAGCCCGTGGTTCAGACCAGCTGGGACAAGCCCTCATGCTGCTGTGGTGCTGAGAAGGGAGCTTTGCCTCTCCTGTCATCGCCCCTTCTCCCCTTTGCTGGATTATCTTTTGCAAAGGCACCAGCCCATGGGGTGATGCCCAAGTCCTTGTGACAGTGCCTGCTGCAGAGCTCCCCGTCTCCCACACCAGCCCCTTCCTGCTGCAGAAAGGAGGTACCGGAGCACTCCCCGCACAGGAGCCGGGAGCAGAGCCTGTGCACGAGCATGAGGGATGACGTGAGGCTGCTGCTGCCCCTTGGGCATGGAACATTAACAGAGGATTTAA